CCCCCACCACCCCTCGACCACCCACCACTCAGATAAACAGATCCCTCCAAGAGACAACTCAAAAAGACGTTACCCTACTTGACAACGCGAACGCCTCTCGCTCTCTGCAGATTGGCGGTGGTCTAAAAGATGCGTCTATCTGCAGTTTAGTAATGGACGACAATTATAAGGCAACTATCTCAGTGGGCAGAAACACCCCATCACACAAGAGCGTCAAGAGTCGTGAGCTAGTGCTAAAAATTAAATCGAGCATGTAAGTTGACGAGAACAACGTTGCACCTGTTGACAATTGGTGAAACTGACACTACGATTTATGTCGCTCCGCATCAGAGGCAATACTCTGTCAAAACTAAATCTTAAAGAGCGACGCGATGCCGGCAGCAGCTGCTCCTCTGCCAGTGCTGCTGTCGCCCGTGCACCCTAACCTCCACGCCAACCAACGGCCCGCCGACAGCCGAACTTACACTGCCACAAACGGACTGTAAACAAAAGCCTCAAACACGACATACTCACCCTGTTTCTCTGACATGGGCTCCAGGCTTGTGCTGAAATAATCCCAGTGTTAGAGGAGGCCGAGTCGAGTTTTCAGGCGAGACATTGAGTCTCACAAAAGTGAAGCCACAAATAATCCGACGAAAGCGTATCCAATAGGCTGGGGCAGATCACTCACACACTCACTATTTCATTATTTGCTTTCTTTTCCACACCACACCACTGACAACACTCGTGGATAATTTCCACCACTTTTTTTGCTTTTCTTTTCTTTCCACAAGGGGATAAACAAGACACTGGCTCGTTACATATATATTATATCACAATTTTTCACTGCATCCGACTTGACAACACATGCACACAGACACACACAGAGGCACTGCACTGATATCCAGGTTGAGGAAGCACTTGTCGTTCACTTGCACCGCACGTTTGACGGTGGTGTTGTTGTTGAAGTAATCCACTGGAGCGGTGCGGTAGCGCGCGGCGCCGTCGTCGGTACGGGCAGCACGAGGTTCCACCTCCGGCGCGGCTCCTCGCCTACTGCCGCAGCACGCTGCCTCCACCGCCGACCGGCTCGGCTCGGCCCGGCCCGGCGCGCCCCGGCTGGCTCGGCTGGGCTCGGCTGGGCTCGGCTCGACTCAGCGCTGCTGCCGCTCGCTCACTCGCTCCGCTCCCCGCACCGGCCTGGCTGGCCGGCCCGGCCCCGGCCCTCCCAAGCTGGGGCTGGGGGTTTGGCTCTGGCTTCGCGCAGCCCCGCTGCGTGAGCTCTGCGTTCTGTTCGCCGGCCTCAAACTGTTTTCGTGTTTGGCCACGCTATGCTGACCAATTTGATCGGATCGCCAAAGAGAGTGTGTGTGTTGTTAAGGGAGAGATCGAGCGAGAGAAAGAGACAGAGAGCGCTGGGGCCGCGGCGCGTTGCAGCGCGGCCACAACAACGCCCCTGGGTGTCCACCGCGCCGCCGCCGCGGGGAACGGAGTTATCGTTAAGCCTGGACGGAAAAATAAAGATCTATCGTCAAACACGAAGCGGACGAGTCTGGGCGCGGGGCGCGGCAGGGCGGGGCAGGGCGGGGCG